CCCCCCTCGAGCTACCTCTTCCTCCACAGTATCCTCCGCCGCCGGCGGACTATTATTATTGTTGTTATAATTCACCGCCGTAGCCATTAAACGAGGTGGGGCTGGCCCTCTTCCTCCACAGTATCCTCCGCCGCCGCCGGACTATTATTATTGTTGTTATAATTCGCCGCCGTAGCCATTAAACGAGGTGGCGCTGGCGCCGCTGCTGCTGCTGCTGCTTCAATTTATTTTGGTTTTTAATAAGGTAATGTTCTATGTGATGTCACTGTCTTTTTGGAAAGATAAATATTATTTTTTTCAGTGTTTCTCTAGATGCACACTCTTATGCATCTGGAGTCTACATCATGTTTTGGAATTTATTTATTTATTTATTCTGGTTTTGTATCCTCTGTACTGTACTGGTGTACGCATGAAAACAAAATTGAAGTAGTTAAAAATGTTTTTTAAAAATATTTTTATTTAAAAAATTAGATTTCTTTAGTTTTGAAGTTATTATATGAAAATTATAGCAAATTATTTACAATAAATCATCACATAATACTAAAAAAATTAATTTACTATTTTTTAAGCCATGTATTTTTATTAAAATATATATTTTTAAATTAAAAAATAAATGATAACTTGTTCAAGACCTCATTTTAAACCGGTTTTATATTAAATTAAGTAAAAATTAACTCATTCAATTATAGATCAACAAATAATTTGATCTTGTTTAGAAAAAATTTAAATAGAATAAAATAATATTATTTTATGTTTTTTAAAAAAATCATCAACCGATACTATTTTGATTTTATTTAAATGAACTCGTTTAATTTATTACTTAAATTTATATCCAGTCCAAAAATGAGTTGAACTTAATTATCTAATATATTTAAAAGAGTTTTAGTTGTTTCTTTTAAATATTAAAATATATTATTTTAAATTATATTTTAAATCTTATTTTTATTAGTTATACAGGTTATTTTTAAACTCGTTAAAAATCAATTAAATCATATTAATATAAATTTTATATAATTTAATTTTAAATTTTGTGTGATTTTAAGGTTAACATATTATGTGATTTCAAGATTAACACTTTCAAATGAGATTAATAATAATCTCAAGTAGTTCTCAATTATTTAAATTTTTTTCTAAAATTTTAAAAGTTATTGATTCAAGCAGTAACATAGTTACATTAACTTTGTTTTAGATATATGTTTTTTTATGGATTAGATATTTTTTAAGAAAAAATTATATATATTTAGAAAAGTATTAATATAATAAAATTATATAATATACACTATTTTTAAAATTTAAGGAAAAAAAAAGTATATTTCATGAAATTTAATTAAAATGAATTAGCTTTCGATTAGAATTAAATTACCTAAAAATTTTCAAGATTGTCTTTTTTTTAAAAATAATCTTTATCAGTTTTAAAATATTAAATTGATTATGTAATTTAAAAAAAAATATTATAAATTCCCACAATGGAAGGGGGTTGCTGTTGATATATAAATTGTAACCGTTGATGTCATGAATACTCGCAGGAGTTGATATCAATGAACTCAGTTGATGCATCATGCATGCATTTGTATATGCCAGGTATATTCTCCTGCCGTCGACAGCGGATTGATATTAATTGTTTTTAAATATAAAAAAATATTAATAAGATAAAAAATATATTTTAAGTATTTTCACCACATAATTAAACTAAACCTAAATATTTTTATCTAGAATCATACTAGAATTAAAAACTTTAGGGTTTAGACCCAATAACGAGCAAGAATATCTCTACACATACATACAATTGATAATTAGTAACAATTCAATTATAATATACATATACATGTTGCATTATATAAAAAATAACATAACTATATATTTAGTTATATAACAAATAATCAGATTTGATTATCAAAAAACATCTTATCAATTGAATTAAAAACTCGGACACTGCCCACTCATTAGATATGTGAAATATAAATTAATAATTTTTTAATTAAAAATAAAAATATAATATAAAAATATTAAAATATCTCCATGATCCTTTTCATCACATGATATATCCATATACTTTTATTATCATAACTATCATAACCCACGATAAGCTATGTCTAGAATTACTTAGAAATCCCTGTGCTGTCTAGTTTTCTTTATAATAATTAGGCTGTATTGAAGGATAAAACTATAGGAATACAGATGAGAGTCATGGCCTCTACAGGTTTAATATGGTTACTCAAATTTAATAGTTATTTCATATAAATCTATTTTAATATAAAATAACCCTTTTTTTAGAAAGAAAAATATATATTGTAGTTCAAAATCTATAGCCACTGTATAATCTTTTTTGGAATGATTTTTATATTGAAATATGTTCCTAGGCTTTTTAAAATTTTGAATTTCTAGTTCTACTTTTTTTTTAAAAAAAAAAAGAAGAAGAAGAAATGATAACGATTCACATGCATTGCCTTTCTAATTGGAAAAAAAAAAAAACATACATTGCAAAAGGTAAAAAATACCCTTTAATCTTAGGCTTAAAAATCTTTATTTTAACGATAATTTTGTAATCTCATAGTGTATTTTAATTATTTATTAGTTTTTGTGATTATGCAAATACCAAAGTGTTCCTTAGCTTTAATTATAATTAAAAAAAAATATGAAAATACAAAATTAAATCTTGACTCTAGGTTTAAATTTTCTACTTCCAAATAATATTTAAGTAGTTTTACCATGTAATCAAGATGAAAGAAATACTTATTTGTCATTTTTTTTTACAATAACAAATAAGCTATGTTAAAAGATATCAATATATTTATAAGATATCAATATATTTACAAGCATGTTTTAAGTTTTTTGGGTGGAGCAGTAAAAACACAATTGCGTCGTTTCAATGAATGATAATAACGAGTTTAAAGCTATAATAATGTTAAGTTTTATTTTTTAATAAAAATTGTATTATTTATAAACTAAAATGATAAAAAATTTTATAAAAACAATTCCATGAAATACATATATTATAAGAGAAATCACTATATTTAATCCTCATATTATTTTGTTTAATAAAATAGTATGTGGTAGTGATTATTTTTTAAAATAATTAATATTTTAAAATAATATTTTTTTATATTTTATATTAACACATTAAAACAATCTACAAATATTAAAAAAATAAATTTTAAATCAATTATTAAAAAAAACATAATCAACCCCATCAAAATACCAAACGGGGTCCATTATGTGCGAGACGATGAAGTTGGCGCACCTACATCTCGAGGGTAGGTGGCAGACAACCCTTAAGAGAATCTAACTTAAATTCATGGCCTCCATTTGTAAAGAATAGATAAGCTTCCCAAGATTTGTTTCATTATCGCGACAATAAATTAGCGAGTGCAACTGCGCAACTCAGAGGAAGGCAGCCAGTCTTTGAAGCTTCAATGTAACTGCCAAACATTTATAAACCAACCAGATTGGTCTCCATCCATGTGTTAGGCCGGGTTAATTCCTTCTTCACTTGAAGAAAAAATGATTTGGCATGCTAGCATTAAAAAAGCGTTTTCTTTTATTATCTCCAGTTAATTTTATAAACTTGGTTAAATAAATAATATATAAAAAACAAAGATAATATTAAAAATAACTTAACTTCACCTGAATCATTCGACCATACTTATAACGTGATCATAAAAATAAAATAACTTTATAAAAAATAAATTAAATAAAATCTTGAAGATCATCTTAAATTCATTCAATATTAAAGAACAAAACTTTATAAAAAAAAATTATAAATCAATTTGAGTGAAATTATCAAGTTCATAATCCATAATATGAGATTAAGATAAACTTATGAGATTAAGATAAATTTAAAAAGGAAATCATGAAAAAAATAGCTAAGTTTGATAAAAAAAAATTTAAAAAAATCAATACACCTTGCGTACCCAGATGTCATGGCTATGATTTGGATAAGATCAAGACAGAGTTCATCAATTGCCATTTTCTTATGTGCTTGTTTAAGGGTATGTAGCTTGAGCAAGCTTCCTCTGTGATGCCAGCACTCTGTGTATTGGTAGTGTTTAATATTTCACTCACACAACTAGGCTGGAACAGGATAGAAATAGGAATATGTAGATTTGTTTAGCTTAATTCTTTTCTTAGTAGGTAAGCTGCATTTCTCAAATTAAGAGAAACAACAAGAAGTTCATCAATCTTGGGTTTTAGTTAAGACTAACAATAGATAAACACAGGAAATTTCAAGCTCAAGAAACAACCTAGCCTGACAAAATCTTGATATATGAAGCCATGTTTCATCATCAAATCTGTGATGGCATCACGAGTCCTGAGGTAGGTAGTAGATTCTTAGATGCCATTGCCACGCAGAGTAGAAGAAATCTAGCTAGCTTTAAACCTGGTGGTTGTACACTTGCTAGGAAGTTAGGTTTTAGTTGGCCAAATCAAAAGGCTGGTTACTCAATTTTCTTCACCATGCACAAGACAGTCTCCTCACAAGCCCTGCCTCTCCCAGTTCCTTGTAAAATAAGCGTTTTGCTCTCAAGGAAACGCACTCCTTGTGAATACTTGGATTTTGCTTATGGTTTTAGGCAGGGATTACAATTACAATCGACCATTCGGGTATTCGATATCATCTCATCTCTTATTGATATTGAAGTGCTGACCTATAGTTATGGAACTCCAATCCATTTTCATCCCTAGTTTTGAATGTTCTTCTGAACCTGCAAAATTATGTAAAGAACTCAAGAAAGAAAATCTATATTTTTTGAAAACCAACCTCTCAGAGCTAGTCTAACTTCCACTATGAAGATGACAAGAAATGTGGAGGAAATAAATTTATCTTCATTGATGAAACACATGACCCAAATATATGGCGGAAAAGCCTATCCGCACTCTCATCCAGAAATATCCTGGTAAAAACAATCTGATTCAACATCACGATTCCCAGAAAGAGAATAGAAAGAAAGAGAGAGCATAAAGAAGGGCACCGGGAAGAGAGAAAAAACGATACTATACGGCCTCTACTGTTGTTTTTGCTTAGCTTCACCAGTCCAGTAAGTTTTGACAGCAACAAGAATTTTCTCTGGATTAAAGGGTCCACTTTCATGGTCCATGATTTGGCTCTTCCATCTCATGCCATTTGTTATAGTCTGAATCTTCACAAGAACCTCTACTGTATCCCTGAATATCACTGTCCCTTCTGGCCTTAGAATTCTATCCATCTCCAGCAGAATGTGGGTTATGTCACACCTTCAAGAGAGAAAAATCAAACACAAATTCAATCACAAGATTGTAACTTACAGGATCATGGTGATCAAAGTCAGTTCTTCAACATTCAAGTTTTACCTGTCCTGATATATACTGAACACCCCGCCAGCATGGATGAGATCATATGTTCTTGGATATGTTGAGACTGCCTCACACCAATCCTGATAAGAGCCAATAAACCCCCGTTCATAGATCACACAAAGTGTGTCTGGATTTGAATTGGCAGGTACCACATTCATAACCCACACTGGATATTTTACCAAGGCCGCCGCAAATCCTCCTAGTTGTGCATTCATGTCCATTATGTTCCGGAATCTGCCTTGGGTGAGAGGACTAATGAAATTCTTATAATGTGCCACTCTATCCTTCCACAGATCATTATCCTCCTTAAATTTCTCAGCATTGATTCCTGGAATAGAACCACTGTGAATTCTTGGAGGGACAGCGAATGCACGTGCTGGCCATTTCTCCACTACACCACCAGCAACTTCATCCGAGCTGCTTACCTCTGGCAATGGAGTTATGCAATCTTCCATATCTTTATACCTTTTTTTTTTTTTGGCATAAAGCACATGCATGCATAGGTGTTAAATGAAAGGTTTTGGCATATCAAAGATAGGATATGAAATAGCATGAAAGATGGGCATTGAGAGAATACCAGGCAGCATCTGGATTGTCTGACTTGCATATATGTGGTGTTTTATAGATCTTCCTGCTTGCAATGCACTCGATGTGGTTAAGGGGCTTTTGCCAGACTGAAAGATCACCCTTTTCAACCACTTTCTTCCAGCACAGGCGCTTGGCTACATCCTCAATAGCATCCTGCTCTTGCTTCAAGTCTTCTTGGGTTCTTTCCCAACCTCTCCAGTGTTTCTTCCAGCGAATAGGAGGACCAGATAGAATCCAGTAGCCACCAGGCCTTAAAACTCTATCCACTTCAATCAGATACAAACCATCTGTGAAATGAAAGAAAACAACATGCTTGAATCAATGGAAGTTTTGTTGAACCACATTGATATACCAAATATTGATATACCAAAATTTTGTGGTTGTAATTGAGCTCCATTTTTATTAAATCATCCTGTTGTGCAGAAGTCCATGCTTTATATGTTGTTCAAACACAAGTGCAAGTTAAAATTGAGGGTGTACCATTTTGATGCCATGGTATCAAGCAACGGGAACAATGAGCCATGTCAAAAGCCCTTGCTGGGTAAGGAAGCCTTTGTGAAGCCATGATACCAATCATACCAGGAACTCCCCTCTCCAATGCAAACCAGACCTGTGCTTCATGTGTATCCCTTGGTGCAAAAGACATTGATATAATGTCCCTCTTCAACAGGTATGCACCCCAACTCGCAACCTTAACACCCACAACAAAGACATAAACAATACACGTAAGGTTTGGAATGCTGATAATTCTCATGGAATATAACACATGTTGATTAAGCTATTTGGATAAGATACGAAAACAGATGTTGAGTAGAAAACATGATATTTTGGCAATTAACTTACACCACAGCCTGTGTCAATTGCAGTTCTGATGCTTCCATCAGTAAGAGGAATGAGCTCACTAATGTCATCAATATAAGCATCAGCTCCACGGGGGAACATGGTGCCTCCACCGGGGAATCTAAATCGGTCACCCTCAACTTGAATCCAATTCTGCACAGCCTTTTCAATGCTAAGCTCCTTATGGGGAATGTTATCATACCAGGCATAATCACGGCTTTGTGGCCATTTAAAAGGGGTCTTATATTTAGGAGGAGCAGGTATCAAGCAAAGAAGCAATTCATCCTTTGTTGGGCAATGCCTCTCTCTATATTTCAACATGTTCCTATCAAATTTCCTTCCCCTTCGAGGATCTTGGCAAGGAGTGTACTCACTATAGGACATGTCGCATGGTGGAATCTCATTAACTGAATCAGTGTTGTTGAACTGAATCTGATGATGGCTATTAAAGTCCAAGACAGCTGATTCTGATGATGGATTGGAACTAAGCCCGGCAAAGTTTGAAACATCACAAGCTACTTTAGTGACGGACTGGGCTAGATTTGTGGGGGCTGCGGTATGCTGCCAAGCTCCCAAAACATAGAACAAAACGCAAAGGCCACTGACCCCAAGAATCCAAGTTATGCGCTTTCTCTTTGCTTCTAGCTGATGCTGCTTTGGTGATCCATTTGCCATTTTTATTTCTAATCAACACTGCAAATATCTCAAACACAAAAGAAACGAGCGGAAACAGATTTAGAGACAGGAAGGTCTAGGTGATGGAATTGTTGAACAAGCAAACTCATCATTTTTATAAAGCTGTCAGCCTCATCAAAAAATCAACACTGCACGCCAAAAAGCTCCACTTCCACACATGGACTCATGATTTCATTATTAATTTTGTGAAAAGGAAAAGAGACATGCCGCCAATCTGGCCGAAAATGAAGGTCATAATGACACCAGCTAGCAACCTATTCATGAACTTACAGTGATCTGTAGAACCAATGAAGAGCTAGCACTGAAAAAGACATGACAAAATTCAAGGGCAATTTTCGTGATTTACTAAACAGAGCAAACAGAGAAGAGACAGAGCATGGATTGATTACTCTAAATTCCATCAGGGAAAAAACCCTTGAAGATGGAAATTAAGGGTAAAACAAACAAGTAAGCATTAAAAATGTTGAAAAAGAAAATAAAAAATCCAATGTGACAAAAACACAGCAAGATCATTACAACCCTAAAAGCAAACACCAACATGTAACAACATTTCTTCCGAGGAAGTTGCAAGATGGTGTAAGAAAGTTACAGATACAAAGCTTGCTTTTGTTCTCTTTTTTACCTCTAGTGGTTAGATAAGCAAAGCTTACCTCTTTCTAACAACATAAATTAGAGTGTACGAATCAATATTTTCCAACAGGAAATCAACTTTTTACAGCTTTTTTCCTTTCATCTTTCTTTCTTTAACCAACAAAACGCAAACCCACAAAGACAACCTCAACAGATCCACAAGAAACATATCTGTACATTTTCTTGAACTACTAAGAGAAGGGTGTCTTTTTTCTTTTTTTAAAAAAAAAGAACAGGGAGGCAGTAAGGAAGAAGAAAGTACAGTACCTGTAGAAGGAGATTCTCTCTCAGCTTAACAAACCCTTCGCTCAAAAATAAAAGAATAATCAAACAGGAAGCTACAAACTCAGCATGGGTATTCTTTAGCTTCTATCTAACTATCCTCTGATTAAATTACCAGCAATGACGAGAAAATTAATAAGAGGAAAAGGGAAAGATGGCTAAGGAAACCATCGAGCTTAAAAAAGGTCAAGAAGGGAACATGAAGACAAAGAGACAGAGAAAGGGAGTGGTTAAGGTTATAAAAATATGGAACATGTAAAGGAAACATAGAAAGTCTCCACCATTACAGGAACAAGGAGGTGGGGTGGTGGACTAATGAGGAGAGAGTGTGTGGTTCACTTGGATTATGTCTTTTGTTAATAAGTTACAAAAATGGAGGAAGGTGGTGACTGGTGCGCCTTGATCTTGTGGGATTTTGATTTAGTAAAAAACAATAGACAAGGTGGTGGCAGGTTCTGAGCATTCACAGGAGACTGACCAGCCTCTTTTCACTCCCCTTCGTCTAGTTCTTCTCCTTCACTAACTTCTATTCTATAATTGTCTTTCTACTTGTATTTTTTAAATTATTTAACCTTTTCCCCATCTTTTTAGGCTCGTAATCCTAACATCTAATTCAAAAGCCAGCTTAGCCTTTTACAATTACAATTATTACATTAAAAAAACATGAGCTGATGCTTTCAAGCACGTACATTATTATTATTATTATTATTATTATTATATTATAGATTATAGAAAATTCTAACTCAGTATGCGTCCACTATACACCAGGCCACAATGGACTTTCTCGTGTCTAAGACTTGGATGGAAGGTATTTCTATCTTTTCATATAAAATAATATTATTATTCTGTTATTTGATTGAGATCAATAGAAGCATTTGATGTAGATATATTTTGACTTTTTATAATAATTAAAAAATTGATTGGTGGGATGTTAGTCTTTTTAATTTTAAATGTATAGTGAAAAAAATATTTCACTTCTATTATCAACAAAAAATAAATAAACTTGTAGATTAAGGTGTTTTTTTAATATTTCACAAACTTTTAAATAATAAAGATATTTCTCTATCTTAAAGGTCAGAAAAATAACTGGGTTGTAGACCAACAGCGTTTTAGGATTTTATGGATTTTATGCAAAGATATTTTGATTTTTTTATATGTTTTTTAGTGATTAAAAAATTAATTGATAGTATGTCTATCTTTTTAGGTTTAAGTGTATAGTAAAAAAACCTATTATATCTCTATTGTCAACAAAAAATAAACTTGTTGATCAAGAAGTTTTTTTTGATATTTCATAGATTTTTAAATAATAAAAATACTTCTTTATCCTCAAGTTTATAGAATAATTAAGCTACAGACCAAAAGCATTTCAGATTTTTCATTTTCGAAGCAACAGAAAAAAATATGCATTTACCTTTTAAAAAAACAAAAGGCTAGTTTATGCATTGAGTGTTAATAAAAAAAAACTAGATATGCAAACTTATGGCCTAAAGCCTGGATGTTTTTAAGGAAAAATCCAGATATATTAGCCTTATTTAGACCTGGATGCATGGGCTTGATTTATTTTTTATTTTTTAAAAGAGATAGATAACATGTCTATTTTTTATAAGTAATTTCAATCTAAAAACATTTTACAAATATATTTTATAACATTTATAAATTAATTGTTTAACCTAAAAATTCCAAAAAATAATTCAAAAACCTGAAATTAAATAAGATTAAATTTGTCTTACTCGAATTATATCAATTTTCTTTAGATAATATTAAAATTCTAAACAAACACCGTCAAACTCATCTCATTACATGGAATATGTAAACTCCAAAATAAACTATTTTATTGATCTAGAAAGATAACTTTCTCTTTCAAATAAAATAATTCAAAAACCTGAAATTAAATAAGATTAAATTTGTCTTACTCGAATTATATCAATTTTCTTTAGATAATATTAAAATTCTAAACAAACACCGTCAAACTCATCTCATCACATGAAATATGTAAACTCCAAAATAAACTATTTTATTGATCTAGAAAGATAACTTTCTCTTTCAATTTATTATTTTTTTTCAGATTAGATATTAAATATATATATATATATATATCAAAATTAAATTGCAAAAAATTAAGAGCCCAAATGGGTATAATTTGCAAAAATAAAGGACTAAATTAAACTTTTTTTGAGAATTTTAAATAAACCATCTATTTTTTATGCCTTTTCCACACTAGTTATCGTTATTTTCACATTGTTCCTAATTAATAAATTTGAATAAATTATCATTCAATTTCCCCATAAAAGAATATAATTGTCAAAATAAAATAAAATTGAGGACTTGAAAAAAAAGTTTAATGAAGAGTGAATAACACACATATGTGTTTGATAATAACAATTAGAGTCTGTTTATTTATGTGGCAGCCTTTTCTTTTAAAGTAAAACACAAAAATAACGTGTTTAGTTAATGTTAAAATTTAATTTATTATTTGTGGAACCTATAAAAAATTGCATTGCCACCACAGATTTGCCGAAAACAGCTGAGAACTGCTCCTTCCCTTCTCCTACTGTCTTGATAATGAAAAATAGCTTCACTGTTCATAATCTTGGTCTATAGGAAAAAGAGAGGAGGTGATGTTGTAGAGATAAACAGATGGTGAAAGAAAGAGTGATGGGGGATCCATCGCTTTAGGTGTTGGCATGGTAGATGGACAATCAAAGCGAGCTAAGCCACAAAATATTGGGCACGCAGACGATGATGCTCGTTATGGGATAGCAGCCAGTGATGCTGTTGAAGAAGCAGATACACTAGCAAATACATTACTGGTTAAGCTAGTAGAGCTTGTGCTTGTAGCTAAGACATTCAGGTATATAAATGTTGGTGTTGGTGGTGAAAGTCCAGATAGATTTTTTTGTTAATTCTGTGATGAGAAACAGAGAAAAAAATACGAACCCAAAGGTAAAAAGAAACTCACTAAAAAAAATAACTCGGTCAATCTCAAGAACCAAAGAGAAAGGGATCTGCTAGTAAAAAAATGGTTTTTTGTTTTGAAAGATGTAGTGCTATGATTTGAAGCGATTTTTTAAGTACCTCCGGCCCGCCCTTGCTCAGAAGTGACTGTGCATATAGGAAAAGCAGCGAGTGCCGTTGTCAGCTTGTTCAAGATCCATGCACAATGATTTCATTAATATAATATGGTGAGTGAGTGCATTTTCATGCCCAAGTTGAGACACTTTCATGGTTGTTTTCACGATTGGATTTGTTTTTGAAGAAATTCCCCTTCTTTCTGCATTGAAAGGCACCCCCAAACCTGTGGGTGGGTCTGTTAATACCATAGTTGTTTGTTCACCGGGAGAACTGGGGATTTAAAATATGATTGGGGTTACCGGAACTTGGTTAAATAATTTTTAAAAAAGTTTTTATATTAACCTCTTGACCCAGCTTTTTTCTAAATTAGATTTTAAAATTTTATCCAGATCATGGATGATAAAAATAGTAAATATTGCTCGAAACCTGGACCAACCCATGTTAAAGTGAAAAAAAAAAAGAACTCTGCTAATCCAAATCTAACAAAGTCAGAATCTAATCATCAACTCATTTAATTTTTTTGTTTAAATAACAATGTTTTAATTTAAAAAAAATAGAATTAACCTTCTTATTTGAGTTTTTTTCTAATTAATTTTAAATTAGATTTTAAAATTCTACTCAGATCAGATCACGATAACTATAGTAAATATCATTTACTTTTTTTTAGCACGAGCAATTATAATGAAAGAGGTTAGGAGAAACAGATAGGAGGATTACTGCATTATACTGCTGTTCTTGTGTGTTTTTTTCTTTTTTTTTGTTATCTTTTTGTTTATTGATAGGTTTCACATGCCTTTAAACTACACTATAAAAATAGACCTTCCCTTTCTTGAATCTATAAAATCTTAAGGTTTAATTATCGCTGAAACATTTCTTTCTTCTTATGTATGATTACTCTTTTATTTTTGGTTTGGTAACGTATTCTTATTTTTCTTTTTCAACTTTACTTTTGAATTTTAAGTTTTTTTTTTAGGTATTCGGAGGCCTTGGTTTAGCTAATAAATGATCTCGCTTGATTATTTTAAGTTATAGCTAAAAGAAGGAGGCCTTGGTTTAGCTAATAAATGATCTCAAGATATAGCTAAAAGAAATCATAAAAAAACAAAATTCATTGAAATTCCTCAATTTAATTATCAATTCAAGACCTAATTAAAAAAAAAACATGTTGTCTTATGCACATTACATTATATATACATTACCATAGTTATTAAATTTAATCCAATCATATAAGTTAACCTAATAAAATTTAGGATTTAAAGTGTAATTTAGGTCGAGTTTTAATTTGAACTAATTTTAATATTAACTCAGTTAAACCAAAACGATATATAAAATTGATTGAGTCGAACTTCATCTAAATCAGGTAAGATCAGGACTATATAATTTAAAAAAGTTAACAATATCGATTTACTAACTCACAAGTTGACCTCATAATCCAACAATCCAAATCCTGCAGATCTTATACCCCAGACCATGTAAATATGGGATTGATATTACGATAATTTGTGTGATTAAGATTTTTTTAAAAAATTAAAAATTATGACGTGTGCTAGTAAAAAATTATACCAAAAAAACCCTAAAGCTCTGCATGCCAGAAAAGAAGCTAGCTCTACGATACCTTGAATGATAAGGAAAAAAACAGTTGTGTATAATATAGGTGAGAAATAAATTCTACATGGTGATGGTAATAAAGGAAGAGCATCACACGAGATCAGAAGTAAAGGATCAAGGAAGGTGCGAGAGGAAGCAAGAGAATCAAGCGCCCATTTCACTGGCCGAGGAAAGCAGCTGCCCATGGCTAGAAGATAAAGGGCTACAGAGCACGAGGCTACCGTTTACCTTATCAGGTTTTAATTTTGTATAGTAAATTATTACTATTTTAAGTTTTATATACTTTAAAATTATTAACAATTCATATAATAATTAATTTTAAAACTCATAAAATTAATAAAAATATATAAAAGCTGTTCCGGACACCGCCTAAAAAAAGTAAAGGGACATGGATTTAGATAATGATGTGATGGAAGTTGGCGGCGACGCAGACATTTTCTTGTGAAGAAGATTTTGCATTTCGTGTCGTTTTAGGCCTTCGATAATTGACCGACAAGTAGCTTTCACTTGTATTGATATACACTTGTACCCTTATTTATTGTCTCGAGCAGGAATAAATCAGCTGGTGAGCCTGGTATCCCGTGACTTGCCTTCGTCGAAAAAGAAAATGAAGGGAATACTTGTTTTTGCACTTAGATTTGTTTTCTAGAGTATTTTTTAAAATTATTTTTTATTTAAAAAAATATAAAATTAATATTTTTTAGATATTTTTTATATGCTAGTGTAAAAATTAAAAATAAAATAATTAAGCTTTGATTTTTTTTTATTTTATATTATATAGAGCTATCATATTTTCATTTAATTTTTTAGTTAGTATTATA